CTGGGCTGCTCCCTGGAAACTGGGGTGGGGTGGAGGGAGGGTCCTGTGGGATGGGGTGGGGGCAGTGGGGTTTGGGGGACACTTTTCTGGGGGATAGGGAAGGGACGGGGACTATAGGGTCTAGGGGACAATGTCCTGTGGGATGGGCAAGGGATGGGGACTGTGGGATCTCGGGAACAATGTCCTGGGAGATGGGGAAGGGAGGGGGACTGGGGGGTCCTGGGGACACTCTTCTGGGGGGGGACAGGGACTGGGGGGTCCTGGGGACACTCTTCTGGGGGATGGGGAAGGGATGGGGATACTGGGCGCCAGGATCCATCCTTGGGGACAGGGACTGTGAGGTTTGAAGGACACCGTCCAGGGAGACTGGGAAGGGACAGGGAAGGGATGGGGACCATGGGACCGGGATGATGCTGTCCTAGGGGACAGGGACCATGGGGTCTGAGGGACACTGGGGACAGGGACCATCAGGTTTGGGGACCACAGGGTCCAGGGTCCAGGGACCCGTAGCCACATGCCACCCCTCACCACAAGCCTGGGTCCTGCTGGCTCCTGGCTCCTCTCCTCGCGGCAGTGCCGCGGCTGTGCCGCTGCGGGGTCCAGAGCTCTCCACTGTCCCCAAACTGCCGCGGCGGGCGTCCTCCCTGCCCGTCTTCAGGGGTGCCTCCCCACCATGGCCCCTCTCGACGTCGCGGCTCCCTCCGCTCCGTGTCTTCCAGGAGCTCCCAGGCTGGGGGTCCTCATCTTCAGGGATGGGGTTGTACCAGATCTCGCCCTCGCTGCCGGCAGCACCGGTATCCGCCTCGGCTCCGCCGCCCGGCTCATCCAGCCCTGGTCCCTTCACCGATGACAGCACCCAGTGCCGGCTGCTCCGCTCCAAGCTCTGCAGGTAGGCGCCGTGCCCGGGGCTCCTACCGGGACCACCCAGCTCCCCAGAGCCGTTCACCGCCTCGGCTTCCTCCGCCAGCTCCACATCTTCCTCACCGGGCTGCTCGATGCCGGGCCGGGGGCTGCTGGCAGCAGGGTCTGGCT